GCCTGTCTCACACAGTCATCCTTCCCAGTCACATACAGCTTACCCTCCCTGTCTTACACAACCTACCCTGCCTGTCTCACACAGTCATCCTTCCCAGTCACATATAGGCTACCCTGTCTGTCTAACATAGCCTACCCTACCTGTCTCACACAGTCATCCTTCACCAGTCAAATACAGCTTACCCTGTCTGTCTCACATAGCCTACCCTGCCTGCCTTACACACTTGTCCTTCCCAGTCACATAAAGCTTACCATGTCTGTCTCATATAGCCTATCCTGCCTGTCTCACACAGTCATCCTTCCCAGTCACATACGCATGCCTGTCTCACAATGCCTATACTACCACTCTCACATATACACTGCCTGTCTCAAAAAGTCATAACTGCCTCCCTCACACAGTCATCTTTACTAGTCACATGACACTTACCATGTTTGTGTCATATAGCCTACCCTGCCTATCTCAGACAGTTACCCTTCCCAGTGACATACAACTTACCATGCCTGTCTCACATAACCTACCCTGCCTGTCTCACATACCCTACACTACCTGTCTTACACAGTCATCCTTTCCAGTCACATATAGCTTGCCATGCCTTTCTCCCATAGCCTACCCTTCCTGTCTCACAAAACCTACCCTGCCTGTCACATACATTCATCCTTTGTTACAGACACCTTGCCATGCTTGTGTCACAGAATATTTTCTGCCTGAAACATCAGGGTTATTTACAAAAGGGTGAAGAGTTTGGGGAAGGCAGGAGAAGTGAACAATCTAGGACAACAAAGCTAACTAGAAATTGAGCTGAATTGGAGAATCTTCCCAAATCAGCTATGTTGGCCTAGATTGCTCACTTCTCCTGCCTTCTCCAAACTCTTCACCCTTTTGTGAATAACCCTGATAGTCTTCCTCCCCTGTCTGCCTCACACAATCATCTTTGCCTATTTCAAACAGCCTTCTTTGCCTGCATTATACAGTGTTCCTTGCTTGTCTCATACACCGCCCCCTTGCCTTGTGCAGCTTCTCTGCCTGTCTCACAGAGGCCTCGGCCATACAGCCCATTCTGTCTTTCTTATACAGTCTTCCTTGTCTATCTCATACACTCTTCCCCTGGATTTCTCACACTGCATGCCCTGCCTGTTTGACAACTGACACTGTCTACCCTGCCTGGCTCATATAGTACCTGTCTGGCTAATACAGTCTTCCCTCCTTATCTTATACAGTCTACTTTGCCTGTCTCACACAACCGATCTTGCCTGTATCATTTAGCCTTCCTTTTCTGTCTTATACAGACCCTGCCTGTATATCTGCCTGTCTCACGTCAGTTAAATGTATATCAGGTAGATTACCACATACACATATACATACAAGATCTGTACTGCATACATACAGACAGAATGACCGTACCAGCACTGTACATCACACACTATTGACAGTCTGACCAGGTACCAGAACTGTACATCACACACTATGGGCAGTCTGGCCAGGTACCAGAACGGTACATCACACACTATGGACAGTCTGATCAGGTACCAGAACTGTACATTACATACTATGGACAGTCTGATCAGGTACCAGAACGTTACATCACACACTATGGACAGTCTGGCCAGGTACCAGAACTGTGCATCACACACTATGGACAGTCTGATCAGGTACCAGAACTGTACATCACACATTATGGACAGTCTGATCAGGTACCAGAACTGTACATCACACATTATGGACAGTCTGATCAGGTACCAGAACTGTACATCACACATTATGGACAGTCTGATCAGGTACCAGAACTGTACATCACACACTGTGGACAGTCTGATCAGGTACCAGAACTGTACATCACACACTATGGACAGTCTGATCAGGTACCAGAACGGTGCATCACACACTATGGACAGTCTGGCCAGGTACCAAAACTGTGCATCACACATTATGGACATACTGACTGTACCAAAACTACAAAGATATGTATCACACATTATGAACAGACTAACCATAGTACAATTCATACCAGGGGCACATTTAATGTAAAATTCTAGTTTTCAGGAATTCCCACCCCAACACAATTAAAAAAAAATTCTGGCGAATACAGAAAGTGGATTAGATAGTTAAAGGTATTGGAAAGTATCATACTTCTAACAATACCATGACATTAATTACACAATGCACGGTTTACCTTTTGCCCAGCCATAAAGAAAGCGAAATGAAAAGAACTCCTACAACACAAACTTGGGAACATAATAACCAAGAACTATAAAGACTACACAAGTTAATAAACGAAAATGAAATAGTATGAGATACTTGTTACAACTTGCTATAACAAAGTAACAAAATATAGTTATGGATATGTTACATATGATGTACTGTGAATGCTGCGTTTAGACGGTAAGCAAGCATTGTACAGCTGCGATCTGCTGTATGGGCAGGCTAATCAAATAATTTTGACCCCACAGGCTACAAAAGCAAGAACAGATATCTTATACTTACTATGGCGACAACAAACATTACTGTAAATACCTGGGAAAAGTGACCTCACAGACTGTGTAATCAGTAGAGCTAAAAAGTGCTTAATGCTATACCGTACAATATTTCCAAATTATCAATATACAGTATGAAGAGGCCGGCACACTGTACACAGCAGATTGCACACCATGGGTACCCTCATAGTCTGTGTTATTGCCCAGTAAAGACAGTGACATGATCCTCACACAGTATGGGAAAAATTATCACAGACAGATATATAGACCCTTTTCCCTGGTAGAGCCAACCATTCTGAATTAAGTTTTACCAAATATACAGCAGCTATATGATATGCATATGGCTCATGATCAGACCGATACTTATACACTATAAGCATGTGCAGCTAGAGATATGTTGCATATTGGAACAGACCATTATCAAACCATTTAGAGATTCAGTCTAATATCACTTGGATAGTCTACTAGTTCCTTTGTAACATCATAATGGCAAAGGGGGTACCACTAACTAATAATAAGAAAAAGATATGCTTCAGATGGAAGTTTGAGGGGGGTACCCTTAATCTCAAACATATATAGTGCCCATTCTGGTTTCCTCAGTCAGTGGGTATAGGTGCCACCACTCAAACTGTGTGTGTGTGTGTGTGTGTGTGTGTGTGTGTGTGTGTATACTACTGGCTTGCTGGAAACAGGTTCATTATAGCCCAGCACACAGTCCTTTGCTCCAGCATATGGAGATAGCTGTCTTTTGCTACTGTAACATTCCTCAGATAGCTTAACGCCGGATCAATCAGATAGCCACTGTCTGCTACCAGAACCAATAACACAAATCTATTGTATATACTATGTGCACTACAAAGCACTGCATGAACTGCCTGCTCCCTCAGTAGCTGGCGTTTATTCGTTTCAATAGTGTCATCGTTCTTGTTTGTACTGTTCAATATTTGCTTTATGCTAAAATGAAAGTCAGTAAGTCATGCATTTTTCATCATCATTCGTTCCACTATGTCAGATCCCCGTACAGGATTGTTAATATAGATGTCATCCTGGCTTAAAAGAGACTGTGCTTTCCTTAGAATCCTAAAATGTTTTATCTGGAAATTAAAACCGAGCAACAAATATTCATTCAGTTCAAGCTGATCTTGTACTGTGTTTCACGATATTGAACTGTTACATAGTTAATCAGGTTAAAAAAGGCACAAGTTCATGGAGTTGAACCTATAATGAATAAGAAGGTAATAAGAAAGTAAATGGTTTGTGTCCAGATTCAAAATAAAAGGTGGATACACTCCACCACCTTAAAATTACTTTTTTTAAATAAGATCACATATATTTTTTTTCTAATGCATAGATTAAAATTAAATTAATTTCTGCAGGTCAGGGATTACATTTGCCATGGGTGGTATATTGACTGTATTTATTACATTTATTTATATGCCTAGATTGCTCACCACACTACACTAATAGAGAGAGAGTAAAGAGAGAGATAA